TTGTTCCAAGACCTTATGCAGGATCGAATTGCGTGTGCTATGGTTCTGGATTGGTCAAGTTTCACAAACACTTTTTTTTTTGGACTGTAACAAACAGTAATAATTATTAGAGAAAGGAAAATCATCTCGGAACATTTTACAAGAGTAAAAAGTTGGGCTCATTTCTCCAGCTCCATCTAAAAAACTATAGCAAGCCATCTTAACTGCAGAATTACACATACCAATGGAAAACAAAATGAAAATGGGATCCTTAAAGCAGCTATGTCACGGTTTCTGCAACTTGAATAGTTCAGCCTAAATTTTTCAACTTCGTCGTTTGTAATCTATGTTAATCTTCTCCATCCTGAACCATCCTTGTTCCTTTATTGATGTTTTTTTTAGCTTAGTAAACTACCTCGTGTATTTTCAGGTTTCCTTATTTTTCCTCAATTCTATACACAGCAAAATAACTCAAAATGCCATGACTGAGCTCCTTTAAGTAGGCAGCATTTAGTATACAGCTTAGCCGATGTGTAAACACCCTGCTTGGAGTCTGAAATGAATGTTACATTCTAGGCCGGTGAGAGAGAACAGTTACCACAGCTGACTAAAAAGGACTCTATATCACTCAATGACATTGTGGCCATGTTAATAAGAGTGTTTGTAGACGCGTCACCTCACATTCCTGAGCACCGCCAGCTGCCACTGTTCACACATCTCATCTGCACTGTTGGCTCAACCCAGTTCCTTCACACGGCTGTCATTCTCTTACTGGAGAAACACGTTGTTCATAGTCAAGCTACTCCTGATGAAAACCAGGTTAGTTTTAGTATGAGCACAGTATTGTGCAAATGTAATGCAAATGATTTTTTTACCCTCTTTCCGGGGCATATCGAGGAGGTTTCGCTTGAAACTATGAAACTCTGGGGAGCAGGGATGGCGCGGTCGCAAGAGTGCTCACCTTCCACCATGTGGCCCAGATTCTATTCCGGCCTGGTGTCATATGTGGGTTGAGTTTGTTGTTGGTTCTCGCCTTGCTCCGAGGGATTTTCTCCAGGTTCCCTGGTTTTCCTTCCTCCACAAAAAACCAGCCCTTAAAATTCCGATTCGATAGATGACCCGCCTGAAAACCAGCTAAGGCTGGCTCTAAATACTGTAATTTATAT